CAGCGAGGAGATGGTTTAAACAGACAAAATTCTGGGCATAAAGATGGACTTATGTACTATTAAACTTCCTTTTCATTGCCTTAGAGCCCACGGGATGTTTCTGGAGACCGTCTTTGACTCTGTGGAGGCATCAGCTGTCTTCTGTCATCTAGTTTGTTAAGTTGGCAGCTGAGAGGAGGTGTTTAGAAACGCTAAATAGAAAAGGTCATTTGTGTCCTTGGATGCCTTCTTGACCCGGTAAAGGCGATCCAATTCAATTTCAATTTAGAAATACTTTATTAATCCCAAGGGAAATAAAATGTCATACTTTTTTTTAACCAGTTGTAGGCGTTGATAGCTGTAGGCAGGAAGGATCTTCTTTAGCAGTCTGTCTTGCACCTGATCTAGAGACAACTTAATGAAGACAGTAAGTTGTTTAAAATTATTCTGAAGATGATGCTCACTGTTGTCCATAATGTTCTTCACTTTATGAAACATTCTTTGTGAAATAATTTTCACAAAGTTAAGTTTCTAGAGGAGCTCCTGGAACAGAGCTGCCCTTCTTCATTAGATTGTTGAACTTTTTAAAGTCATTTATTCTCATGCTCAAGGAATTTTTTTATTAAATATGGTATGGCGTTCCATTTCTATGCAGACAATTGTCCAGTTTATTTGCCAATTGCTAAAAACAGCCACTGATCCCTAACTCCCCTACTCCACTGTCTGGGTGACGTCCAGGCTTGGTTTTCAAAAAAAAAAATCTGAAATGAAAGGAGAGCAAAACAGAGGTGATGGCGTTTGGCACTGCCATCTCTGACTTAAGACCTTTCAAGGATTTTGTACGTTCCAAAGTAATCAGCCTTGGTGTCAACATGCAGCGATTTTAAACTGGACAAACAAATAAACAGCATCTTAAAATCTTGTTTTTATCATCTCTGTCTTTTATTTAAGGTTCAACCGATTTTATCATTTAATCTCTTTTAATTACATTCAATTCAGGTTATTTATATAGCACCAATTCACAACACAAGTCATCTCAAGGCACTTTACAGTTCAACCAGAATCTACAGTCAAATTGATTCAAAGTTTTCTATCTAAGTTGATTGCATTGACTCATTGACTCAAATGCAATCTTCAGCAGGCTTTACGCTCTTTTTTTTACTGTCTGAATTACAGCAGTGCATTTAGCCAACAAGCTCTCTCCCATCTGCAGTTAGTCCAAAATGCAGCTTTTAACAGGGACCAGAAAACATAAACACATTTATACCAATTCTTGCCTCTCTGCACAGGCTCCCTATATGTTTTAGAATTGATTTTAAGATTTAATTGTTTGTTGGCCCCCATCAGCTATTAGTGCCTAAGACTTGCTTAAACCCAGAAGGGACAGAGACTTTTTTCTGTATTTGGTCTCAGAATGTGGAATACTTTGCCCCTCAATATACGATCAGCCTCCACAGAGGAGTGTTTTAAGTCTTGTCTTAAAGGAAAAGTCCGGTCAGCAAGGAAGAATCAATGGATCATTACTTATACCTTGAACTAATACATTCATGGTGATTTAATGAATTTAGCGTTAATCAGTAAAAAAATTTAAAAAATAATTTTCGTCACAATCACTGAATCCAGGAGCGACTATTTTTGCCCAAATATAGCAACACCTCACTCCTGATATCCGGCAGTGACGTCACGGTGCGGTAAGCCTAGCACCATTCTCCCCGCTTTATAAGCAAAATCAATGGGAACTACTAAACACTACTGTGATCAACAACAATTATTTAAGATTTCCACAGGACTTCACCATTGAATTTCGCGATAGCTATAGTTAAACTGACAATGCCCACATGCATAGTAGTTGGATGTTGTAATTTGTTGAGTAAAAGTGAAAGAAAATTAGTTATTTCAATTTTCCGATTCATGATCCTCCACGGACGGGTTCATCACTGGATCGCCAACTTGAAGAGGGAGGATTTGTCATTGCACTTCTGGCCAGAGAAAAAACATGTAATATTTAGCCAACATTTGGAAGAAGAATGCTTTCAAGATGACTTGGATAATAGCGTGTTGTGACAAACACCAGATACAGCACTGGGACTTGATCAACAGCCGATACCGCACTGTGACGTCACAAACCAGTGGGTGGCAGTAGTGTTCTTTCGACAAACATGGATGTCTCCAGTGAAGCAAATTCGAATTGAATTACTATTAATTAAAAACACGTATAATTTATTGAACAGTATGCAATAATTTCATATTTAAAGTACTTCACTCTTTGGCTTTTAACACTGCATATTTGTTTGGTCCTCTGTTTCCTTCTTATTTATTTATTCATTTTAAACTCTTTAAACTGTGTGTGTGTGTTTTTTTGTTTGTTTTTATGTACAGCTCATTTGAAACATTCTTTGTTGTTAAATGTGCTATATAAATAAAGTGGATTGGATGCTGTTACCCCAGCAGATGAGATGCCACTCTACACAACAGACTTATAGAAGATATGTAGCAGTTTGCTGCAAATGCTGAAGGACCTAATCTTCCTCAGGAAGTCGAGTCTGATCTCTCTCTTTTTGTAGACAGCTTCACGGTTGTGGCTCTAGTCTTGTTTGTTGTACGAGTGAACACCAAGGTATTTATATTCTTCAACTACCACAACTTCTCCCATTTTTTAAATAGGATTCAACTTGTTCATGTTTTCTCTAAAATCTACAATCATCTCCCTTGATTTTTTGACATTCAGGATGAGATGATTGTTTCGAAACCGTGCCACAAAGCAGTTCACCGTCTCTCTGTACTTAGTTTCTTGTCCATCTTCGATGCACCCAATAATTGCAGAATCATCTGAGTATTTCTGCAGATGGCAGAACTCTGGAAGTCAGAGGTGTACAGAGTAAAATGGAATGGAGAGAGTACCATCCCCTGTGGTGCTTCTGTGCTGCTGACTATTTGATTAAACAGCTGACCCTTTAGCCTAGCAAACTGGGGACTGTTTGTTAGTCTGTTTGGAAGACAGAAAAAAGTTGGACAAAAAAAACATCACTTTTGGACAATGTTTACCTTCCCATGCATGAGGCTACTGTAGAAATCAATGTTTTTAACACTGTTATGTGCACAGCTTTTTTTTTTCCATATATGGTGAACAATCTGTTGTTTATTATGCAACATATATGCCTGCATGTGTTAAACAATAATCTAAGTATGTCATTTTAAAAAATGCCCTTAAACTCATATTCTTACTTCGTTTTTATTGCTTTGCATGCTTTGTCCTGCCATTTTCTTTGCTATTGGCACACCTGAAACTCCTCAACATAGGAAAAATAAAATAAAGGATATTTCTATTTCTATTGAAGGGCAATAGTCTTAAATATGTGGAAAGGAGAAGGTCATATTTAATGAGATATGTGTATAAAACATGATACGAGATTGGTACGCGGATGTCTGATCATCTTCACATTTGAAACTGGAAAGTGGAACCTGATAAGGACAGTGGTGACTAAAGCCTTAAGAGGAATCTAGGGGTGATATAAAAAAAACTCACATGTTGGTGAAAGAAAAAAGGGAAGAGTCTCAAGAGCCCTTGTCATGTTTCCTTTTTTTTTTTTTTTGTCATGTTTCCGTCATGGTTCAGAAAGCAGGATTTCCAAATATGTACATGCAACAAAAAAAAAACATCATTGTTGCTATTTTACACTATGTTTCACACTACAGCAAAGAGAAAGGCGTAAAGAGCCACCCTTATTTCAGTCTGATTAACTTCTGCTTTCAACTTAACATATAGAAAAGGGAGCAATTACTTCAATGGCTGTGTTATATTCTTTATTAAAGAAAAAAAGATAAATAAAAAAAATCTCTTTGAAAAAGTCTGACTTGTCAGAATACAACATTAATGCATAGCAGTTTCTGGTTCTGTAAAACTGCATTCAGTTAATTTTATTCAGTTCATTTCTAAACTATAGAATTTACCTTAATTTGTTCAATTTAATTTCAACTTAAACAAATGGAGGATGCATCACAGAGACACACAACCATGTATACCCATTTATTCTAAAGGACTGTTTGTAATAACCAATTAATTCATTTTTTTTTACCTGTGGGAGGAGGCTATAGTAAACCTGGAAAGCATAAAAACTCCATGTTGAGAACCTGAGGTTTGAATGAAACAGAGCTAACAGCTCTGCCACCTTGTTTTCAGTTCAATTCAGTTCCGTTTAGTTCAGATTAAAGGAATTGATTTCAATAAAACTGCATTTATTTTAGTTAGTTTATCTTACAACCAAAAGAAGACAAAGCTTGTTATGAAAAGGACCAACATTTTAAAAAGCGTTGGTATATAGTTGCTTCCTGCAGACAAACACCAAGCCTAGCTTTAGCTACACAGCCATTATATTCATTCAGTTTCTATCTGTATTTATTTGTTAAAAGAGAAAAAATGCATTTACACAGTATAAATCCAATTTATAGAAATAGTAAAAACACAGCTCTGGCTGTAGGTTTAGAGATCTTTCTTGGAAGGCAAACGCTCCCTTTTGCAGACTTATGGTCTTCATGAGGCTGTTTATGCTTTGCACTATACCTATGGGGGCTTCGAAGAACATCTGCATACATATACATCAACATTTAGGTACACATACACTACATTAACCAAATAGCTGACTTCTGATTGTTTCACTGGATTTTATTTAGGGGACACAGAGTAAAGGAGACCGAATATGAGTTATCTCCAGAGTTTGATTTGTTGGTTTTTCACATAAAATATCAACTAAACACGCTAAACTTTGAGGTTAAAGCGGCATAATATAAAAAAGTTTAAGGGGAATGTTTGAAAACACTATTTGTTCTTCTGCTATGTACAGAGATCATATTATATAAACAATGCATGTACACTCAGATTTTCTAAGCATGTTTGGTTATAAGGATACAGTGCACATGTGGCAAAACCTGTATAAAAACACATGACCTGTGGCAAAGAAGCAGGCGGTGGGAATAAAGGCATGTCAGAACCTGAGTGGTCTGTCTCCACCTTGCAGGTTTGAGTTCAGAATGTGAGACGAATCAGACGTAACTTTATCTGCTGACACCCAGTGCCCATCTGAGGAGGCTGCTGTTGCTTAGCTTGTTGTCAGGGGTACAAGACTGTGAAGTTATTGAGGTAATTACAAGCAAGCTTTTTTTTCTACACATGACTACTATGGGGTGCTTTTCATCGTCCTGTTTCACAAATGTCTGTGTCAGATTGTTTGGACAGAATGCCAAGTCTGAAGCAGCAGCTGGGTGTTTCAGTTTTTGGAATTAAGCGAACTGTTGGGGCGACACATGCCTTCCCTCTGTGTGTATGCCCAAAATAGACTAGATAAGAGGGGCACTTATCTCTAAAATGTTTTCATTTTGCATTCTAAAATAGTGTAGAGAAAACGTATTTCAGCACTTACAGATTTTTTTTCCGTAATTTACATTTTGCAAATCCTGAGCAAAAGATATTATTAAAGAGTAAATATAAAATTCAGTTTTAATTTGTAAGTTTAAAGTATACCTATTTAAAGCTTATTTAGGTATAAATCAGTTTTTGATTTAATTTATTAAAAGGAAAAAGGAAAAAAGTCCCCCTAGCTTAAAATATGCATTCGGCACATGCTTGATTATACACAAACCTGTTAGAATTAAAAAAAACACTTAAAAGAACCTTACCCTCAAGGGAGGTAGGATGAAATATCTCAAAAATTAAAACATCATGTCCAACCCCAAATTAGTTCAAGAAAAGATCAGAAAGACAGACTTTAGGGCTCTAAACTGTCAAGATCTGCTGCTCTGGGTTTTTGGTGTTTGGTTCTGTTGGGCTTTGATTTATGTTATCTCATGCTTGCTGTTAGGATTTATATAATTTTTTAATTACTTGTTAGTTTAACTATTCCGTTTTGGTGGCTTTTCTGTTATCTCCTATCCATCATTCTTTAGTCTTTGCTGTAGTTGTATTTTGCCATTCAGCGTTAACAGTTATCTTCAGGTTATGTTTTCCAGGGTATCATGATCTTAAAGGTATCCAGTATTTTCCCCAATTCGTCCACACGTACACCTAAGCACAATTTAGAGTCACCAATTAACCTAAAAGTCATTTTAGATTAGGCAGGAAGTTGGAGTATCCAGAGAGAACCCAAGGCAAGCGTGTCACAAATGGTCTAGCCCCCTGAGACAGACCTCTATTAATACTTCTACCAAATCAAACTGAATATTTTTTATATTTGAAATTGTAATCACAACCATTATGATCTAACCAATGCCTTAGGTAGCAGTAAGCAGCTTGCAGCTCTTCAGGGAGCTCTGTGGGGTTAACCCATGACTGAGAGTGTGAGGTTTGAAGCACTCAAGCTGCATCTCGAGGAGGTAAATCCCCTGCTCTCTAACCACTGGGCCACCACTTCCTGCATCACTGTCGTCCTCTGTAGCTCTGTCAGCCCCAGCGATCATCCGCCTGTCTGCTCTCTCCAGCACTCTAAGGATCTCCAGCCCCTCATGCTCCACCCCAACAAAACTGCTGCAGGAAGACAAATCCTTACCGGAGATCCCCACATATCACTGGGATCTCTGTTTCTCCCTCAACTTTTTCCATCCACCTCCAGACGGAAAACCACTCTAGAATCCTCCTCCTGCAGTATTCACTTCCTTGTCTACTGTTGGCTAGATATGGCTCCTCCTTCTCAATTCCTCACACTGCCAACCACAAACAGAATCTTCTCTCAAGAATTTCTATTATTAATCTGTGTAAATAAACACTTTTGTTATTTTAACCTGTACTTCCAGCATAGGATTCTGCATGAGTGTAGAAGAAGTTACTGTAAAACATGACAGTTTGAAACTACTTCACTTCTTTACAACACAGGGAACTTGAAAAAAAACATTTTTGTTTTATCAGAAAATCCTTAAGGGGAATACAGGCTATTAGTTATTGACCTTTAGATTGAGTTGTAGAAGCACAGCAGCAGATTCACCTCTAAAAGTTAAATTTTATTTTGTTTTGAATCTCCATGAGGTTCTTAATTAAACCCTAAACCTTAATATGGTTGATCACCCTCATAAACTCAATGCAAAATTAAAAGATCTACAATTTCAAACAATTCAAACAATTTCCAAATGATCACCAGTTAGAATTCAGATGATTGCAGTTGCGCATGTCATCTGAGTTCTCTGGCGTACTGCTGAGTTCTCAGAGTTTTACTCTGAAAAACAGGAGTATGTATTTTCTAAAAATAACAAATGAAAGCTATAAATTGAATTCCAAAGTTATTCAGGGATTGGAAACATCTAAATTAATAAATGTTTATCATTAGGTCTAAATAGGATGTATAATTCCAGGGGGGAAAAGATGCAAAGCGTAGTAGATAGTAGATCTACTCTGCTTCATTTACATCTGCATGCAAACTACAAAGGATCAAACTTTGCTGTTGTTTTTTTTCATCTTGTAGATAGATCCGGCTCTTAAAACTGCAGCCCTCCTGTCTTATATACTAGACTAAACAAAGCAGCAGTTATCCGTGGATTAAATAACCTCTCTCCTGATCAACAACACCTCCAACAATTAAAGAAGCTAACTTGATGTTTGGAGATTTATAAATTAAAGAGGTGGGCCACTCTATTATTAATGGCGCAAGTTTTGCCGCCAAACATGATAATAAGCTTAAGCATGAGATCAAATTAATCTAGTGTTGAATAAATGTAGAAATTCATGAGAAAGAGAGGAAAAATGGAAGACATTTTTAAGGGAGTACCATACTTTACTGTACGGGCAACAATTTAAGAATAATTCAGACAAATGAGCCAAATTGATGGATGGATGGATGGATGGATGGATGGATGGATGGATGGATGGATGGATGGATGGAAACAGAAAGCACATTCTTTTTTTTCCATTTGCAAAATAGCTAAAAAACAAAAACAAAGAAAAAGAATTAAATTGTGCCGGTAATGATAAAAAACTCGCCTTCATCACTTTTTTTAATTAAAAATTATGTTGCATTTTTAACATATTTATAGTCATCTGTTAGAATATGTTTTATTTGTGTCCTAAAAACATGTTTTTGAAAGCTGTCCTGACCTGACCCCAACGCAAACACAAACATACCCTATCACCAGTTTAATTTAAGCATTTAGAGCTGATTAAGACTACAGAGTTGGCAGCTTGCCGCTCTTAACATGTCTCCAAAGCCCATTCAGGACCGACCTCTTATCTATGCACCATGGGATAAAGTATAATTTAGTGAATTTCATCTAATATTTTAATCTCTGGTATGCCATGTGCCCAGATTGGCAGATGGGATTCAAGGGCTGGCATTGCACACTGTCTGAAACTCAAGTCAATTGCTCTTTGCAAGGCTATAAATACACACATGACATGAGTAATGATTAATAAGATGAATAGCAAACTAACTTAGCAAATATTGAGAGAATTGACTGATTTCTTTACATTTGTATTCTTTAACCTTTGTGTAGTTGTTCCAAACTCTTGAAAAAAAGAAAAAATAATTAAGACTTTGGCATCTTGTTGTCAGTGCATATCTCTGTGTGGCTTTTGCTAACCCTTCTAGTAGTTCTTTTTAAAAGAACATCTAAGAATAGAAAAGAATACCAAGGACTTCCTGTTTTCTAAATGATGAAATAATTTCCTCCCCTAATTGTTTCCTATTCAGTTGTAGCACAAGAAAAAGTAAAAGAAAGAAACTAAACAAATGATAAATCAGAAAAGACAGATGCAAGCTCCTACAGCCTATCTGATGCGGGAAACGTTTTAATTCGGATTTACTGGGCTGGATTCGCGCTCAGGTCTCTGTCTGGAGGACAATGCTGCGGTTCTTCGCTGAATGCGCGTCAACGGAATCCCGTAGTGCGTCATCAGGCAGCTATTCTGTCGAGCGAGCTCCCTGATTGGCTGCGGCTTGGAAACCTCCCCGCCCACCGCGTTCACTCGCGTGGAAACCTCTCTGTGGCGTCATGGAGACGCTGAAGTAAAGTATAAGAGCTGAGCGAGGAGCAGGGACCGCCGCTCAGCTGGGAGACAGACGCTGGACATGACAGACGCTCCTTCATAGACGGTTTGAACACCCCTTCGGACCAGAAAGGTAAGAAATACTTTTAATTCCTAATTAGGTGAAAAACAAAACAAACTTAACGCTCTTTAAATACGTTCATTTTCATTATTGTTTCGGTTGCAGTGGCTTCATAATTATAAGATATTGGAAAAAGACAGTCGCTTGTAATAAAATAATAATGAATTTAAGAGTGAATTGATCAAAATGTTTTATTATCCTTGGCATAGATGAGTTAATTTGAGCCAACTTGTTGTGCACCATGTGTTATATGTTGGACGGGTGCCGATGCTTTAAAATCCAATCTCTCTGCACTTCAGGGTTTCTATGAAGCAGCTGATAAATAATGATGTGACTGGTATTATAACCAGCACTAAACCTTCTAGGCTGCCATACCAGTTTTATGGAAACCTACAAACCCCCTAGGAAGCCAAATTTAATTTCTGAAATGACGTCATCAACATATATCTTAATAAATAAAGGTTTAAAATAACCTGTAAAAGTTCTAGGGTTTTACTCTGTTTATTGTGTTTACATTTTTGATTAAAAACACATTTTGAAAGTATTGTGTAATTTTAATATAATTTAATTATAATGTGAAACCTATCTTATTATATGGAGTCTGAGTTGTTTTTTCAATTTCTAAGCAGTGCTACAGATTATTTTTTGTTAAGATTGAATATTCAAGGTTTGAGAGAAAAGCAGCTCTGTGCATCACCATGAAAAAACAATAGTAACGCATGTTGAGGCAGCGTCACGCTTTGACAGGAGAAGCTGGTCAGAGTTGATTGGCAGATAAAAAAAAAAGTTAAATACACAGAAGAAAACTAGTTTAAAGCTGTAAAAGAGTTATGTTTTTAGGTTCACCTTTCAGCTTGAGAACAACTATGAACATACAGCCAAAGCTACTGTTGAAGGATTAAAGTATATTTGTTAGATTGGCCTAGTCAAAGTCTTCAAACAGACTTAACTTTACATCTGTGGAAAAAAACATGACTTTTATACGCAAAGGAGCCTCTGTCTGATCTGCCTCTTCAAAAATAAACTCAGATCACAACATACATGCTCACTCCGAAAGATCTAGAGATGAAGAGCAAAAAAATGGTTGATCAAAAACCATAGACACAAGACAATGAGAATGAGGAATGCAAAGTACATTTGTACTTTATTTTTTTTAAACTTTAAAGGTTGAAAACCATCCTTTCACTTAACTATAATTTACTACTTTATATTTAGACAATCCCATTAGCGCCCACTGTAGACAGTAGTTGTAGCATGAGAAAATGTAGATTTAGAGGTCTAAATATTTTGAAAAGCACTAAAAAAGCTGACTTGTCTTCCTCTATTTAACATTTCTTAAACCTTTTTTACAGTTTTTGCAGCCATGACATGCATACATCCCCAGCATGGATCTCAGTTCTATGAGAACAGCATGAGCAGCTTGGAGTCTCAGGGTATAGATCTCACCTCTTGGTTGGACATGAGTAACCCACGGGACCCCGTCTCAACCTCCTCTCTGGCCAGCGCCAGCCAGGTGCTGCGCACGCCCTCTGAGGACTATGAAGCCTATTCTTGCCAGTTCACTACAGCCCCTGCCCATGTGACCTCTCCTTCGGACCAGGAGGGACATTACAGCATGGAGGAGCTTCAAATTTACGGCTGCTACCCAGGGTCACTTATGCTGAACTACCCGAATGAGGCCATGTCTCCCAGTGGGTCGGATTATTATGGCAGCCCTGCAGCAGCCTCATCTCCCTCAACGCCTGGATTCCAGGCCCAGCAGGCCTCGAACTGGGACTCAGTCTTTGGGACATATTCAGCCAGTCCTGAATGTTGGATGGCTAAGGACATCTCAGGACCAAATGCATCCACTTTATTTCCATTCAGTTCTGGGCCTGCAGAGGACGTGTCTTCTTTTAGTCCGTCACTTTTGCAAGAGCAGGAACTGTTTGCTTTGGCTCATCCTCTTCCTTCCGGACTGACCTTCCCATCTGTTGTGAGGGAGCAGGGACTCGGTCTTCATGGCAGCGAACAGCTGGACACTAGCTTATCGCCCAAGCTGAAACGTGGAAATGAAGGTGACTGTGCTGTGTGTGGAGACCACGCCTCCTGTCAGCACTATGGGGTTCGCACCTGTGAGGGATGTAAAGGCTTTTTCAAGGTAAACATTTCACAGACGTATATAGAACACCGTTATCTTTGTCAGTCTTGCAGATGTTTGAAACTCTTGTGTCGTGTTTAACAGCGCACAGTGCAGAAAAATTCCCGATATGTTTGCAATGCAAACAAAGACTGTCCGGTGGATAAGAGGAGACGCAATCGGTGCCAGTTCTGCCGCTTCCAGAAGTGCCTCGCTGTGGGAATGGTGAAGGAAGGTGAGAAAAATGCAGGAAATTCTTGGGATTTCATACTAGAGATCAGCTGAGAGGCAACTAGAGAAAAATCATACACTATGAAAATACTTTGTCACAGCTTCATAGTCAGTGCATACAAGGACTTCCTATCCTCAGGTATCTCCTAACCTATAGCATAAAACATGAGTCCTCACTCTGTGAGCTCAGGTTAATCATTCTGTTTCCACCTGCAACATCAGAGAACACATCTAACACAACGCCAATGTTTGAATATTACATTAAAAATGTAAAGTTATTTAACAAGGAAGCCTGTTTGTAGCCTGATCTAATTCTAACTAAATCTGTGCTCATCTTTAGAAAATAATCTGTTCTGC